GTGTAAAACAGAACTTTAGATATGTACCTACATTATTAAAGACAATAAAAACAATTCTGATTCATAAAATGGGTTTTATTGCGTTTTGAAAAAAGGAAGTTATGTTGCTGTACCCTGTATAAGGGGGTTATATACACTCCATTTACATTACACCTGAAAATATTCCTATGCCCGTTTATGATTTAATTTACATCATTGCTTATCATTTATGGTAAATTATTAATAGTGACTGATAGTCCAAAATATGATAATAAAGAAATGAAAAACAAATTCCATGACCTGTGATGGAAGCCTAGTATGGAAGCTGCTGTACCTTTGGCGGCGTACAGTGACGCTACCCAGCTTGGATTTATGAAATAGTATCTTCTAACTAAGGCTTCTCACCATGATCATTTGATTTTTTGCAGATTTAGTTTATTAAGGTTGACTGCAATCTAACCAATCAGAATTCACTCTGCCAGATCAGACTAGTTCTAAATGGCCACTGTATTTCATTAATTCTTAAAAACTTAGATGCATTTGTTGAACAAGGCCATGTGATGCATCTTATATTTTTTTAAAAAAAAACATGGTGTCTTTTTAAAATGAATAATAACCCAAGTATTCATATCTATTCATATCAGGGGCGGACTGACCATTTGGAAACTCGGGCATTGCCCGAGGGCCCGGGGTCTGTAGGGGGCCCCATGAGATGCCCCTGGTACCGTTTTTCATAGGCTTTTTTGAGTTTGGGCAAGAACACAGGGGCCCCATGATCCCCTATTGCCCGGGGGCCCCATGAGTTGTCAGTCTGCCCCTGTGGAAGACACTTCCTCACTGGCCAAAATGTGGAATCACCATCGCTGATGATGGAACAGTCCGCCCCTGATTCATATAAAGTAATTTTGTTTACACACAAAAAAAATTTAATTGTAATTATCACACACTGTGGCATGATAGCCTGTTTGATGTTACCGAGCGGCATTTTAAATTTTACAAATATTCTTGGATAAGATGGCAACGGTTCATATTTTATACATTTCTATGCTTCAAGGAAATTCCCATTTTTGGATAGTTGTCACCAGAACCGGTGTCTCCATCTGAAGATCCACCTTCAGCTCTTGTTTTGTTGACAACCCTTCATTTTTAGATTTCCCATCTCTGTCTGGTGACAATAGTAACCAGGATATATACCGAAGTCAATTCCATCTAGTATGGACACAGAGAGCCATAAAAACCCAATAGAGATTTGTTTCCTTCACTACCCTATCCAAAGCAAACAAATGTTTTGGCTAAACCTAGAATGTAATACCTAGGTTCCATGTCCAGCTACAAGTCAGCCAACCTGTTCTTCTGTGTTATTTATAAATAATTAGATGTAGGTCACCCCGTAAAAGCACGACCTTGTTAGAGGCAGCTTGGAGGGGAGGAAATTCCAGTCCCACCAACCTGCAGGCTGAATCCTTCCCTTGTTCTGTTAGTGTCAGCTGAGGTATGGGTGGGAGATGTCAGGGTGGGGTGTTTATGGTCAGGGAGGTGGTATCCTCAAGGCTTCCTCATACCAATTTACAAAACACAATGTTGCTGTGAAACTGGGTTTGGTCCTTTTGGAGAAGAGCTTGGGATGAGTCACAGGGCGGGGGAATATCGGGACAGAGGTGTAGAGCAAGTGTGGGGGTAGGAAGGATTTGGAGAGAAAGCAAAACACTTCCCAGAAACACAACATAAAAGCTTAGTGGTTAATCCATGGCAGTTATCTTGGCTAAGCAATCAAGCCTATCACATCCTTTGTTTCAATAAGAGTCCTGCTAGGACTGCAAGGACTATCAATTAGGAAATAGTCCTTAAAATATCAAATAAATGAAAGCCTATGTAAAACAGTAATATATTGCTGATTGCCAGTCGTCAAGCTGGCCATAGATTGTTCAAATCTTGTTCGGTTTAGCAGTGACCGGTCGAGATTTAAAATCTATGAGCAGGCTGATTGTACAAAATTCGATAGTTGTACGACTTGGGTACAACCAGCATGCCAGATTTTTACAAGTGATTTGAGAACTGTTTTACCCATCAAAGGACTGAAAAGTCTGTGTAACCAGTCTTATGATCCAGACTCCAGGCCAGGGGTGGACTGACAACTCATGGGGCAATAGGGGATCATGGGGCCCCTGTGTCCTTGCCCAAACTCAAAAAAGCCTATGAAAAAGGTCCAGGGGCATCTCATGGGGCCCCCTACTGACCCCGGGCCCTTGGGCAGTGCCCGAGTTTCCAAATGGTCAGTCCGCCCCTGCTCCAGGCAGACCTGATCATCAACTTCTACTGAAGCAACAGCATACTTGGTCACACTCTTCAGTGACAGTTTAAATCATGTATGGGCAGACTGATTGTACCCAAGTTGATCGTTAGCTTGACTTGGGTACAACCAGCATGTCCGATTTTTCATGTGATTATTGTCTGTGGCTATAGCTAGCAATAATCACTCCTCACCATACCCCCCCACTGGAAGAACACAATAGTTCTGTGGGAGGGATTCCCCATCAACACTAACTGCGTTGATGGGGGAAATCAAGCGATTTTGTTTCCTGCAACCCATAGTTGCAGAAAAGGAATTACGATCGTCTATAGCCTGCCTTAGATGTGGTAGCTGCATTCTCTTTTTTTAGGCTTTTTATCATTTTATTGTCAACTGGTGATCCACCTCCTTTCCTATAGTGGCAATGCTCACTCACCGCACGTATACCAGCACAGGACTAAAGAATACCTCTCCTCTTCTTCACAACTTAAAGTGTTTGTAAAGGCTATTTTTTTCTGCAAAGTAAAAAATATGTGCTACTTACCTGCTTTTTGCAATGGTATGGCACAGAGCAGGCCAAACCTGCTCTTCTGGGGTCCCTAGTGCTCTTGGCTCCCCCTATTCTCAGTGTGACACCATTGGAAGCCCCATTCTATGGGGGTGCACCTGTGGGCTTGGTCCTGTATTAACACACACAGCACACAGACACACGGCAACGTGCCCCCCCCCCGCTGTCTGCTCACAGGATTTGATTGACAGCCAATGGCTCCTGCTGCTGCCTCTGTGAGCATGAAAGAGAGGAGAGAGCCACTGCAGATATGCATAGCGCTGGATCAAGATTGGGCTCAGGTGAGTATTGGGGGGAGCAGGGGCGGACTGACAACTCATGGGGTCCCCAAGCAATAGGGGATCATGGGGCCCCTGTGTCCTTGCCCAAACTCAAAAAAAGCCTATGAAAAAGGTACCAGGGGCATCTCATGGGGCCCCCTACTGACCCCGGGCCCTCGGGCAGTGCCCGAGTTTCCAAATGGTCAGTCCGCCCCTGGGGGGGAGGGTATGCAGAGAATGCCTTAAGGTACAAAATGTTGAGCCTTTAGAGCCACTTTAAGGGGAAAGGCTTTATAGTCCACAGAGATAGCTTGGAACAATGTAACTGATAAAGAATGCAGCACATATAACACTTTCAATGGTATATCTGGCATACTAAAATGGAACAAACATTAAATCTTTGACATGGTTTGAACTAAGAATGGCTTGCATTAGGATCATAGTGTATTCTTTATTTGTGAATCCATCTAGGACCAAGGTGTAATAACTATATGCCCTCCAGGAATTCTATTGTGATAAATAATTGACAGCCCAATGAGAACTACCAAACATTAATTCATGGTCTATTAATTAGTATTTATTAAGCTTTTATATGCATTATAATAGTGAAAAGTCCTGCTTGGACCACAGACATTCACTAATGGTCTGCCCTTCTGGGCACTATAGCCAATACTGGTAAGCCTTCTAAGACCAAGGTGTACCAAGGTTTACCTGTAGTGTTGGAGAAAACACTGAAAATAATGCATCTACTAAAGGTAGCTTTTTTAACTGTAGAGATTTAGGTATTTAGTTAGATAATATATATATATATATATATATATATATATATATATATAGAGAGAGAGAGAGAGAGAGAGAGAGAGAGAGTCCTGTTTGGATCATGGGCATTCAATAATGGTCTGTCCTTCTGGGAATTATAGTCCATATTGGGAGGCCTTCTATGACCAAGGTTTACCACTGTCCATTGTGACAAATACTTCTGAAATAGTCTTGCACCATTTGGTTCATAGCTTTGTGTTACTGACGTGGAACAAGCATGTAGATGGATAATTCTTACTTTCTTCTGAAGTTCTTGATTTCCATATTTGTCCCAGGTCAAGACTCTGAATGTATTGAAGCCCTGCACCTAATAACAAGCAGGCAACTATCATTTTCAGTTGGAGGTCATCAATAGCAGTTGAATGAATGATCTCCTGTTTAGAATGTTCTCATGCCACCTATACAGTATACGCTGGAAAAGGGTTAAACACAAAATGACAGTAAATTTACATTTGACAAGCACAGTTTTGCTTTTCTGCCAGTTATGTACACAGACACGCACATGCCCCTCGGCAAAAGTTGTGTAATGTAACAAACAGCTCTTGCTAGTCAAAGCCAAAGAACAGCAAAAAATTAAATCTAGCATTAATACAGCAAGCGTGTACAATTATGTGGAAGGGGAACTCCAGGCAGATTTTTTAAGTCCTTTCCACAAAAAGTTTTATGTGGTCAATATCATCATGGATGCCGCTGGTGCCCACTTCCTGTGCAGCTTTCTAGTTATTGGGGCTGATTAGAGACCATTGGGGCTGATTAGAGACCGTTGGGGCTGATTAGAGACCATTGGGGCTGATTAGAGACCATTGGGGCTGATTAGAGACCATTGTGCCAGAAGGCCAATGACCACTATTTCACACTCTGCCCAACCTTGAACAGGGAAAAGAAGTGAAGTTATTCATATTGAAGAGCTGCTAGTGCTGTTGCTTTGCATGATCTGAAATGGGAGGCAGCCTAATAATGTAACTGGAAATTGTAATGTAGGCAAATGTAGCGTAGTACTATACATAGAATCAACAGACCATGTCAAGCTCCTCTCTTTAATAGCTATAATTAATAGCTATTCTTTTCTATGTTTGCTCCTCAGGTGAAAATCTGGTTCCAGAATCGCAGGTCAAAGTTCAAGAAACTTTATAAAAATGGCGAAGGACCAGGTTTGGAACACAGTCCTAACAACAGCGACTTCATGGCTTGCAATTCACCGTCCTCCCCACCCAACTGGGAAAACAGCCGAAGCCGAACTCCCCAGCAACAAAGTCTTCCTCACTGCTCATCCCCAACCTATCTTGAGAACTATAATCAATGGTTTAACCAACAGAACCAACCAGGACCACATCTACAGCCTCCTGATGCCTTGCACCAACCGCCACCTAATCCCGTGTATTAAGTGACAGAGACTTAAGATAACTTGAATGAGTTATTGGAAACAAAAAGCCCATATCACCCTAGTTGAAGGGATTGCATAGACTTTTATTTGGGCAAAAGACTCTTAATATTTAAGTGGCATTAATATAAGGCACCAGTTATGGGACTTTTGTAAATAAATTTTGAAGGATCAGTATCCACCCAAGAAATCCAATTTGTCTCCCCAAAAAACCGCCATGCTGATGGACATTAAATGGAATGACCTAATTATGGATATCAAGGCCATAACAATTTCTCCAAACAAATTCTCCACTGTTACATAGCTTACTGGACCAGGTTCTTTCCACAGTCATTAATGATGCATCATCATCAAGCCCGTAATTTCGTCAAAACAAGTAATACAGGACACATCTCCTTGCTGTAAAATTATTGGTCATGAGTAATTATTTTCAATGGAGAACTTTTTGTTGAAGATCTACAAGATCCTTCATAACACATATGGGGCACAATGACTGTAGTATGGCCAAATACTATGCTATTTTAGGTTCTAAACAAATCCAAAGACCAACTTTAAACTCGGTTATGAATTTAACGAACGTCAACATTTTCTACCATATTGATTCACTTGAGGGGAAGGGCTTTGTCAAAACAAATAACTTTTATGTCAAATCAAAGAAAGGAGTGATCTTCTTTTTAAAAAAAATATTTTGTTAACCTTTTATGATCTGAGCTACTCCACTTGTCTTTGCAATATTTAAAGAAATTGCGCAGGAGGTTCTAACTTATTTTTGTAATATTTTGGAAAATGTTATGGATTGTGAGGGGGTGAGAATAATTTTTCAGATTAAGAGGAGGGGGATCTGAGGAATGTCATTGTGTGAATGCAAATTAAACTATTGTGTTTTGCTGCTGAAGCAAAAAGATTTTGAAAATTGTTGTTTGGTTAATTTGTGGGTATTGTCTAAAGCGTAAATGTGTAAGTTGTGGTTGGATGTGTATGTTCCTGGTCCAAAGTTTGCTAATGGGTAAACCAACCCAGAGGTTGATATTAAACAATCGGTTTCCCCTATACACTGCGAATGTGTTCACCTTAGATGCCAAACTGCCACTTTCACCCTGAAAGTTCAAACAAAAAGAAAACACAACCCAAAGGTTGGACAATGATTTAGATTTTTCAATGTGCTTGGGAACTTTTGGAACTCCATTATGTATCTTTCTTCAAACTTCTCTAACTACATTCCAGGAACATGAAAACAATAGGTGTGCGATAGAAGATTTGTGCTCCAGATGTATGGCTTATTATACACTAATGATGATTTACCAATAAATATTCCATCATTACATTGATCCACCAGTTAAAGTCTAACACCACTCAAATTTTTTCTTTTAGAGTTGGATAGAGTGGGGAAGGATTAGAAACTATCGGGTTTTCCCAGCTATCTTAAGCCTAGTACACACAATCAGAAAATCGCATGAAAAAAATACTGTTTTCAAAGTGACTGTATGATAATCTGATCGTTAGTACATCCAAAAATTTCATCCAAAATTACTTGAAGGGACAAGCAAGAAAATTTTTCTCGATTTTCCTTTAATCAGTACAGTTTTCATCCGGAAATACAATACAAATACATTACATCACTTCTGAATTCATGTTCTGTCATACAAGAATTTTCATAACTTTAGTAACCTCTTCACTTTTGATATGAGACTAGCATGCAAAAAAAAAAAAAACGGACGGACATACATCCGATATTCTCATCTTGTGTAAGCCCTTAAGTCCCTGCTAGGTAGATTTCTCGGCGATAACACAGGAATTAAAGGAAAAACTCCCAACAGTACCTAGACACCAAGGAAACCCTGACAAAAGGCTCCAACCCTTCCCCACAAGACAAAAAAGCAAGTGCTATGATTGCTTTCTGTGTCCCTAATAAAGAAATGTATTTTATTATCTGTCTTGTTGACCAAAGGAGAGGAGAAACGAGACAACAGACAATAATTATAAAATTGAAAGGTGTAGGTGGAAGAAAATGGGGTTGACTTACTAAAGGCAAGTTTGCTGAGAATTTCCACCGGAGCTTAGTGAATGAGGAGCTCTGCTGACTTCCATTGTCCAATCATATGCAAACCCTAATTCTGTTTTTTTCCTTGCACATGAGTGGGCATTCTTTTGTCAAGGAAAACTCCACCACATTCACTAAGCTCTGGTGCAAATTCACAGGCAAACTTGCGTTTAGTAAGGCAGGCCATAGACGGGGAGAAAACTGGCCGAAAAAAAAAAAAATCGGCCGATTTTTGGATCGTTAGTGGGGTAATCAGTTGGCCGTTTTTCATGATTTTGACACTTTTTTTTATGTCGGTCATGTTGGAAAAAAAATCAGCCACTTTTGTCGTTCTGCCAATTTTCGCGGCAATGATGGACAAATCGGCCGATCTTTTTACCGATTTTAAAAAATGAGCATGAGCATTGACCGGCAAGAAGAAGGAAAAGAATTAAAAGAAGAAATAGAATATGAATAAGAAGAAGGAAAAGAAGAAATAAATTATGAATAATAAGAAGAAATAGAATATGAATAAGGAGAAGAAAAAGAAGAAATAGAATATGAATAAGAAGTAGAAAAGAAGAAATAGAATATGAATAAGGAGAAGAAAAAAAGAAATAGAATATGAATAAGCAGAAGAAAAGAAGAAATAGAATATGAATAAGGAGAAGAAAAAGCAGAAATAGAAAATGAATAAGAGGAAGAAATAGAACATGAATAAGGAGAAGAAAAAGAATATGAATAATAAGAAGAAATAGAATATGAATAAGAAGAGAGAAAAAAAAAATTTCAGTCTGATATTTGACATTCAAAAGTATAGCAACATTGTATCTATTTGTATCCGAATATAAACATCTGTATCCAAAATGGATACACATAGATACAATGTTGCAACTTTTTCTTCTTCTTCATATTCTATTTCTTCTTTTTCTTCTTCTTCTTCATATTCTATTTCTTCTTATTATTTATATTCTATTTCTTCTTTTTCTTCTTCTTATTCATATTCTATTTCTTCTTTTTTTTTCTTTTTTCTTCTTCTTATTCATATTTCTATTTCTTCTGTCAAATATAATAGCGAAGCTCTCTGCAGGGACACCGCTATTGTATTTGCCGGCCATAGATGGGACAAAAAAACAGCCGACTTTTTTTAACCAATGGTGGTAACATCGGGCGACTGAACAACCGATTTTTCGCTTTTCTAAAAAAAACTGGCCGGTTTTCTCCCCGTCTATGGCCTGCATAAGTCAACCCCATTTTCTTCCACCTACACCTTTCAAGTTTATTATTATTTTCTGTTGTCTCGTTTCTCCTCTCCTTTGGTCAACAAGACCAAAAAGTGAACAGATTCATTGCGTTTAGTAAATCAACCCCATTGGTTCCAAAAACATATTTACCCATTAGAAGGTAAAATCTATGATGTAGAGTGCAATGGATTTGGTTTGGCAGCTCTCATACGTGAAAAAGCCACACAAGGCTCTTCATACGAAATCCAGAAGATAGGCAACAAACCTCACCGTTGAAGTCGAAAAGTGTAATACATGAAAAAGCCACACATGGCTCTTCAGACGAAATCCAGAAGATAGGCAACAAACCTCACCGTTGAAGTCGAAAAGTGTAACCCCATCATAAAAGTCCAAGATAAAGATCCCAACATGTTTTGGGGGCTTGTTATCCTGGACTTTTATGATGAAATGTAAACTTTTGGACTCCATACTGTTGGTGTGGCTCTTCTATTTTAACAATGACTAAGGTAAATATTTTTTTTTATCAATCCACCAACTTTATTACTTCTCAACTGTCATACAAGGCAGTCAACACGCGAAGTACAGAAAGACGCTAGAGTAGTACAAGTGGTTGCAAGAGTACAACTGTGAGAGGTCTCATGAAAAAGGGCAAAGCCAAAAGGCATCAAGACCAGAGCATTTCAAAATTTCAAGCCTTCTGTCAGCTGCTTTACATTTATTCTCCTCAATATTAACCAATGTCAACAGCTTGGGTATGCAGATAAGAACTTCTGACTATACTCTGACTTTCCTGACATGCATACTTGTCTGGATCACAGAGTATTGAAACCACAGGAATAGCATAGCAGTCAGTCAACTGGCAATCAAGGAGGCCAGCAATGACAATTCCTATATTGTATCTCTGTATGTCTGTAACAAAAGGCTCCTGGAGTTTCTTTACGTTCTCAATGATTTGATGTCCCACCATAGTGAATATGATTTTTTTCCCATGTACATCTATTTTTACACTTATCTCAGCTGTGTGAGAAGCTTGGAGGCTTACAAACATTAGCTTCATACAGATATCATTTTTAAGAGAAATACGCATTTTTTTTATTTCTAGAGGAATGCAGATGCTATTTTTTAAATCTAGGTATGATTTTTTTTTTTTGGGGGGGGAAAGGTTCCAATACATCATTCAAACCTGCTATTTAAACCTGGAGTTTAATCTGGTTATATTTGTCTGCTCCGACTCCTCTTTTCTAACTTGCCTATTATTATTATTATTATACAGTATTTATATAGCGCCAAAAGGTTTGCTCAGCGCTGTACATTATAGTGGGGGGGCAGTACATGAGACAATACAGTAACAATACAAAACACGAGGGGTTCGAGGGCACTGCTCCTTGGAGCTTACAATCTAGGAGGGAGGGGATAGTGGTACAGGAGGAAGTGGCTGTGGTAGGAGGAGTGGAGGAGATCGGCAGTTAGGTGAGGATGGGGTAGGCTTCCCTGAAGAGATGGGTTTTCAGGGTGCGCCTAAAGGTGAGGAGGGTAGGTGACAGTCTGATGGATTAGGGTAGTGAGTTCCAGAGGACGGGGGAAGTCCTGGAGAAGTCCTGCAGTCGGGCGTGGGAGGTGGAGACCAGGGAGCTAGAAAGTAGGAGGTCTTGTGAGGAGCGCGAGATTACGGGTTGGGTGGTATTTGGGTATCAGGTCGGTGATGTAGTTTGGGGCAGCGTTGTGAATGGATTTGTATG